TCCTTTCTTGTAAAGGTACAAAACTACAGTATTTTCATATCATTTTCTAATACATTTGTTGCCTATGTACGTGCAGCAGTTCGGTTTACTTTGTCCAGACCACCTGGCTTGCCAATTGCTTCGAACAAATATTTCTTGCTGATAAAACTTCTAAACTTCTCCAGCATTTGACTACCTTTTAGCAGCATTTTGAAATATTTTGTTCATTTGTCTACTATAAATTCGTTTAGCCATATAATGGATACTGGTCCTTTTTTTCTTTTCCAAGATTTTGGCACTTCCTTTCTCGTTCGCTTAATGTATTTTTCCAATTTTTGGGTTCAATTTTGCGTTTTCCCTCATTTTGACACCAAATCCAAACAATCAGTTGCGGTTACTATAAGAACTTATAGTTTCGCCCTTTCCATCTTTATTTGTCCAGCGAGAATAATGCATTCAATATTAAAATTTCCTATTTTTTTATGATATGGTCCAACTTCCGAACAATTTGTTCCGGAATTTCATTGCAATAAATTTTACTAAACAACCCGGCAAGTATTCATTATATTTAGTTCCGATTAGGTATATATTATTTTAGTTTATAAAACAGGTAATGATCTGTCTCATTTCCTGGAAAGTATAAACAATTTAAATTACCTCTAAGAATCAGTAAATATACAAAAAGTGTTGAATTGCAAACGTTAAATAAAAAATTGAAGATATTCAGCTAAGTATTTTTCAATTAAGTTTTATTATTATAATTATATCATTGTTACAATAGATGTCTGCTTAAACGACCTCCGTATGGAATAAAGTAAGTTAAATAAAAAAATAAAATAAATTTAAAAAAATTGTTTTGATTTTTTTTTTAGAAATAAATGATTGCAGTAATGTTTGTTCGTTATTAAAACCAATATAATGTACCAAAAAATTTATTATATCACTATAACTAAGCCATTTATGTGTACAGAATGGTGTGGTAGAGGCTTGTAGGCACCTATGCCGGCACCGCTTTTCTCCCGCTAAGTGCATTTTCTACAAAACTGCTTCAAATATTTTAAATAGTAATCAGTGTTTTAGAAAGAGAAATATATTCTCCAGATGTTTTATTTCGGCATATTTTGCGTTATTGTTGGCTGTTTAATTACAAACGACGCTTTATTTCCAACTTGAAATTTCTTTTGAGAAGGAGTTGATTAGGGGGTGCGGTCAAATAAATACTTAATTAAACAAATAGTATTAAACAAACAAATTTATTATTTTATTTTATTTTTTTATTTAACTTAGTTTATTCTATACGAAGGTCGTTTAAGCAGACATCTACTGTAAAAATGATGTAATTACAATAATAAAACTTAATTAAAAAATACTTTGCTGAATATCTTGAATTTTTTATTTAACGTTTGCAATTTAACACTTTATTTTGTATATTTACTGATTCTTAGAGGTAATTAAAATTGTATATACTTTCCAGGAAATGGGCCATATCAATACCTGTTTTATAAATTATTTTATGAACAGTGAAAAGACCAACCATGAGGAAATTAAGCCAGTGACCAAAAAACTAACTAAAGTCAAAGTCGTCAATCCACCGTTTTTGGACGCCATTTTGGGGCAGTGCGTTCACTTTTTTTTTTGGGAACATTGTCTTTTTTTTTTAATAAATAGTTACAAGGAACACAACGATATGCAATTTATAGGGATGTGGTGGGAGAGGTGCACGATTGGGGGGTCTGGCCCACCAAATAACAGCCTTACCCCAACATTAAAAAAAATAAAGATGAAACTTGTCAGAAATTGTTTATCACCCTTCTCATATTATTTGGTAAACAGTCCCAAAGAATCTCGCGTCGGATTCTGATAGGGGGAAGGGAAGAAGATCAGAAAAATGTTAATAACATAAATAACTTATTTTTTAAGAATATCTCAAAAACTATGAGATTTTTCGCGAAGATTGATCAGTATGATATTAAAGTAGTTTAGAATCTCTATAAAAATGGTCCTTTATATTAAAAATAAAAATACTGAAGAAGAGAAAGAAAAGAACAAGAAAATTGTACATATATATGAAAAACTAAAATAACCTAAATAAATTGAGGTAGTTGAGAAAGGAGTAGGTGTTTAAAGAGGAAACTGATTGAGCGTGTCGAATATCAGCAGGGATGGAATTCCAGAGGGAGGCGGCTTGTATTGCAAAGGATTTGTCAAACGCAGCAGTTCGGTGAGGAGGAGAATAGAGGTCGGAAGTATGAGATCTAGTGGGACGGGATTGGATGGAGTATTTGAATTGTAATCTGTGAAAAATATAGGAGGGTCGATGAGTTCTTATGATTTGGTACAGTAAGGTGTCTAAGAAGAACTGAAGGCGACAGGATGGGTAGAGCCACCTCAACTCAGTGTAATACTGGGTAATATGCGTATTCCTTGCGATTCCGAAAACAAATTGTAGTGTGTAATTTATTAGGCGTTTAGGTTTGGCCTTGGAATCTCCCGAGACTCCACCGTACACCATACAGCCATAGTCGAAGTGGGGGAAAACAAAGGAGGAAACTAGGAGTTGACTGGACTTATATGGAGGGAGATATCGTAGACGATTGAACTGTTTTAGGGTGGAGATAGTGCGACGGGAAATTTGGGAGATGTGTGGTTTCCAGGTTAGGGTTTGATTAAAAGTAACACCTAGGTTTTTAACGGTGGTGTGGAATAAGATAGGTGAGTTGTTCAGGAGGAGATTGGGAGATACCGTGTAGGATTTGAGGAGTGAGGGGGATCCAATCAAGATGGCTTTTGTCTTCTCGGCGTTCAGAGTGAGCCTATTGTGGTTTGCCTAAGCACATATTCTGTCAATGTCTTCCTGAAGTTTTAGAGTGGCATCTGAGAAATCTTTCGGATTAAAGGAGAGGTAAATTTGAATGTCGTCGGCATACAGGTGGTAGTGACAGTGCAGGATAGAGGATGGGAGGTCATTTCTATAGATGGAGAAAAGGGTGAGGGATAAGGAAGAGCATTGTGGGACGCCTCTGGTCAGGGTTAGAGATTCTGATGGGGGGTTATTAGGAATTACAACATACTGGAAGCTACCTGTAAGGAAGGATTGGAACCAATTAAGGGAACTATAAGAAAAAGAGATATTTTTAAGTTTGGTTAGGAGGATGTTATGGTCTACTGAATCAAAACCTATGGGGAAGTCTAGGAGAACAAGGTTTTTTAGTTTCTGCTGATCTATGGCTGTGCGAAGGTCTTGGGAAATTTTTATTAGGGCAGACTGAGTAGAATAACCAGGCCTGAAACCGGACTGGTAGGGATTTCGGATATTTATTATCCTCTAAAAAATGGAATAGCTGGGATTGGACTAATCGCTCTAAAGGTTTTGAGAGGTTTGAAAGAAGGGGAATCGGTCGGAAATCATTGAGAGCTGATGGGTTTGAGGTCTTCTTCAAGGGGCGTACTAGGGCGGTGTTCCAGGATGTAGGGAAGGTAGCATTTTGAAGAGAGGTTATATATATGATTGGGGAGATCAGTCAAAATAAAAAAATAGTAAAAATAAAAATTTTCTTAGCCCTGAACTTCGGGCCGAACGGTCGGGAACTAGGTTATATATATATGAGGTTATATATATATAATTATATATATGATAAAGGATCGGAAGAATGGATGACAATGCGGCTTTAATCAGTCTGACTGGGATGTTATCGGGACCGTAATCATTGGTATTGGACTTCTGAATGGATTTAAGGAGATCATCTGGTGTAATGTGGTGAAAAAGAAGTGATCAGAATTAAAGGAAGAAAACATAGGAGCCGGACTGGACATAGGAGAAGTGGTTGCAAGAGGGCAGGAGACAAATTGAGCGTAGAGGTTATCAGCAGAAACGGAATTGGACTGGGACTGGGGTGTATTACCAATGGTCAGTTTTCTAAGAATAGTCCACGTGGCCTTGGTATTAGGAGAGTTGGATAGGGAATGATGGTAGTAACGGGATTTAGCACGGCGTAATGCTGATTGAGTGCTGTTTCGAAGCTGTTTGAAGGAGAGAAAATCATCAGGAAGTCGAGTTCGTTTAAACCGTCGCCTTGCAGCATCTCTTTCTCTCATACACTCTCTCAAAGCAGGAGTAAGCCAAGGAGCTGGAGGATATCGGATGGTCTTTGTGATAAGAGGAGCATGTCGGTCGAGGAAAGAGTGAAGTTGAGTGGTAAGAGTTTCTACCATGGTGTCTATGGATTTTGAGGAATAGATGGGATCCCACTGGATGTCGTCAAGATCTTTTGACAGCGTTTCGTGAGTGAGAGAATATAGGTTTCGGAAGGATATTGTTCGGGGAGAAAAGGATGGCCCAAGGACATTGTAAGAGATCTGGATAAGATCGTGGGAAGATAGAAACGGGCCCGGGTGCTAAGATGCGGCAAGGAGTTTGTCTGAGGAATCTAGGATAATTAGATCGAGCCAGGACTCTGAGTACTGAGTATGATGGGTTCGATTGTAGGGTACTATGTAAAGACTGAGAGAATGAATTAGGTAAGAGTAATCGGAGGCAGTAGCAATGACAAACTCTATTTTCATTTAAAGTTAATTTTGTCTTATTTACTGTGAAGCAATTGGCAATTACTTAAATTAAGTTTTTTTTTTTAAGTTATTGCTTCCTATTTAACAAATAACGCTACTTACTTAGGTTAGGTTAGGGTGTCAAAATAAAAAATAGTTCCCGACCTTTCGGCCCGAAGTTCAGGGCTAAGAAAATTTTTATTTTTATTATTTTTTATTTTGACTGATCTCCCCAACCATCCTTCTCTTCAATTATTCACTACAGTCAACCATCAACCCACAATTAAAAAAAAAAAAGAATTAAATTTTCTACTTTTCTGTGGAAATTCAAAACATGGTTTATATGAATTTTTTGTAGCTCTTGAAGTCTATTTTCACCTCCTTAAATATAATATTTCCCTTTAATTACGGGAAAACTTTTATTTACCTTATTATCCAAATTATTTTCATTATTAATTTCTTTATGTAACTTTTAGGGCTGGCAAGCCACCTGTCGGAACTCACTTAGATGTAATGAAGGAAGATAAATTGGTACAGGTGAGTGGTTTTAATGTATAATGAATATATGGTTTTAACATATGGTTTAAGTATATAATAAGCTCCTAACAGACTCATATTTTTCAAATAATTAACTATTTATTATTATAGAACATTTTTGATAGATTTTTGTAATACAATGGAGTACGTATCTTATTACTGTTTTTTATTATTATGTTTTATGCTATTGGTTAATGGTGATGAGATTATTCGTAAGTAAATAATATTATGTTGGAACAAATGTTTTTATGAATTAATGTAAAATAATTCTACAAATTAATTTTTTCTTGATTTCAAATGAATATTTGTTTTTTTTATTAAGTGACACTTATAAAAATAAATATGTACCATAAAAGCAGCACTTGTTACTTTCCTACCTATATTAGCTAAGAAAAGTATTGCAATCGGGTCAAATTTCCGATATGCGGTTTTTGACGGATCTATACGTTTCTGAGTTCCCTGAGTTCGAAAAGCACATTTTTAGCCATTGATCTGTCTGTCTGTGTCAAGATTTTCTCGGAAACTAGTGAATCGATTGTGTTACTTCTTTTTTTATTTTGTAGGGTTTGACTACTGATGCCTGTGACACAAAGTGGATGCTCCATGCGCAATAGCTGCTGCGCAATAAATGAAAAACATGTTTTTCTATAGACTGTAGCGCAAAACCGGCTCTAACGATTTTGATGAAATTTTCCTGTAATGTTCTGATAATTGTCCTTTCTTTTTTCGTATATGGACTAAATTCCCGAGAAAATTCAGGAAAAAAAGTTATAAAGAAAAGAAAAATGTGGGGCCTAACTCGCTAAGTACATATTCTATGGTAAAATTTATAACATAACTTTTGAAAGGTAATTATTAGTAACATCATATTCTATTTTAATTTATTACTTTCCTACCCATACTAGGTAAGGAAAGTATTGCAATCGTGTCGAATTTCCTATATGCTGTTTTTGACGGATCTATACGTTTCAGAGCCCCCTGTTAAAACACATTTTTAGCCTTTTTTTTTTGGAAAAATAATGAAATTCCTTACAAAACTGTATAAAAATCGTTCAATTCGGACAACTATTAACGTAGTTACAGCTATTCAATTTGCAATGTGAGATCACGGGTTCATATCTTGGTGTCAGAAAGGGGTGAATGAGAGAAAAAGAACCAAGTGAAAGCAAGAAAATCTGATGCCCACATTACACATGCTTCATTATTTCCTCTACTTTTAACAGAGTCTCCTCTACTATGGGCGGGGTAGCCGAATGGGCTAACGCGTGTGCACTGCACCGTCGTTGCCCGGCAACCTCATACATAAGACTTGGATAAAAAAAAATAGTCACGAGTTCGCGTGATCACGAAACAAAATATGGGTCGGATCATGAATTAGTAATCACGGAACTTCAACATAAACTTATATTACTTATTTATTGATAAATATTAAAATCTGTCTCAATAAAGGACTCATAGAGTTCAGAGAGCACTTTTACACCATATTTACAAAATCAAAAAATAAATAAGGTAATTTCAAAATAATATACAGCGAAATAAGGACAAAATAAAATATCATAATGAGGTAAGAAAATATAAATAATAGTAATAATAAAATTAAAATAAATAAATGAAATAGATTAAAATGTTCTTTAAAAAAAAGTAATAAAAATAAACGTCTTAGAGGCAGGTATACCTATTTACAATCAGCCATGGGAACTCCGAACCAGACTTGTCCCCCCACTTGTGGAGGGAAAAGCGAGGCTTCAGGAGATCCCTTCGCTGCTCCTTCAACCACTTCATTGATATTAAAAGCCAGCGGATGCTGAGTAAGGGCGCTACAACCACAGACACTCACGACTTGAGTGGAGAATCTGGCCATTGCCAAAACTGCGATATATACATGTTACAAAAGGACACGGGGTTACTGCCGTTTTAAGCTGCGAGGAGGATTGTATGGATGGGCGGTGCTAGCTAGGGACTGTGCTATGGATTAGAGTGATGAGTAAGGTTCTGATGAAATTTGAAAAAAATTTCTGGGATAAGATCAAAAATAAATGGAATATTAAGGTCATTATGCGGGGTTTTATTGGTGACATAGATGGGAGCATCGACTATTGTACCGAGGACTTTAGACTGGAAGGATTGAATGCGTTTGATGTTAGAAAATTTGGTTGTCCCACACAGTTCTAATTATTAGGTCCAGATGGGTTTTAGTATTGTCTTGTAAATCAGTAATTTATTTTCAACAGAAATTTTAGATTTTCTATTTAGTCTATATAGCTGGGCATAACGTCGGTTAAGTTCCTGTCTTTTAAGTCTAGTATGCGGATTCCACGTTAGTCGTCTGTCACTGTTCTGATAATAGAAAACCAAGATACCGGACAGTGTCGGAGAAGGGAAGCTGGATGGTGGAAAATTGGTGGACAGGAATTACGACGAAGGGTGAAGGTTCTGTTTACATGTGGATTCATTGACTTGATGCGCCATTTCTTGCACCAGTGTTCTATCAGGGATAGGTGCCTTTGCAGGTTTATGAACTTTGTTTCAGGACCTGAGTTAAAATATAGGATAGCACTGTCATCAGATAAAGTTGCCAGGAGTGTATCGTGATGGACGGGAATGTCAGCGGTATAAATGATATAAAGGATGGGATCCAAGACGTTGCCTGGAAGAACTCCAGCCTTAATTGAGTAAAAGTCGGAAAATTCTGTACCACAGCGAACTCAAAAGAAGCGGTCGAAGAGGTAGGATTGGAGTATTAGATATAAGGGCTATGGTAGGTGGGATTTGAGCTTGAAAAGCAGTCTGTCCTACCATTCCCTGTCAAAAGCTTGCGCTATGTCAAGAAATGCACTCTAGCAAAACTGCTGGTTTTCGAGGGCTGAGTCAACTACTCGAAGTCCTTGTTGGACGGTGGAATGTTGGGAACGAAATCTGAATTGATGGGTAGGGATTTTTCGGGAATCTATTATGGGTAGGATTCTTTACAGTAGGATCTTTTCGAATTTTTTTGAAAGGATTGGGAGTAGGGTAATTGGTCTATAGGATGGTGTAATACTGGAAGGCTTGCCTGGTTTCAGGAAAAGGATGATGGTGGAATGTTTCCATAAGAGAGGGAAGTGGGTAGTTCACAGGATACAATTGTATATATACGTTATAAATATGATGGCTTTGGATGGTATTTGTCGAAGGATCTGTGGGGTTAGAAGGTTGTATCCAGGAGATTTACGAGGAGTTTTGAGTAAAAGATATTTGACCTCAGAGGGATTAACTGCTTTAGGTGGCAAGGAGGGTGGGATAGGTGAAGAAATCGGGATGAGATTCCGGATGAGGAGTGAAGGTATAGGAAAGGTGCTTGGCAAATTCCTCGGCTTTGTCTACATCGGACGCTGCCCAGCTAAGTGGATGGGAAATATGATGGGATTGTAGGAGTTGAATGATCGGGATCTGAAGGTGGCTAATTCTTGTTTCAATTTTTAACAGTAATTGTAGGAATGGCGGTCGGCGGGACTTCGCCATAATAATCATGCTCGGTGTTTTATATGAATTAGGTCAAGGAGGTGTTGAGGTGAATTGGGTTTCTTAAGGATTTTCGAGGAATGATCAGGAGAGCCGTCCAGACTGCTCGTGGTTCTTGAACCCCATTGTTAATGCTTGGCGTTTATGTCTGCACCGAGGATGAAGTGATGTCGTAAGGAATTGAGGAAAGAGGTGAACTGGGAATTGGATAGAAAGGTTAGGAGGGCAATAGACTGATGCAATGGTGACAGAAAAGGAAAAGGTTTTGATTACAACTGGAGTGGATCGTAGGAAATCGTGATTAGGCAATGGGAGTATGTTATGAGAGAGGGATTGGTGTACGATGACAGCAGTACCGGCATGTGCTCTACCAACAGGTCAGTCCGATACGTTAAATACTGTGGTATTTTCAAAAGCTGTTTTTTGGTCAGTAAAGTTTCTGTAGTTAGGGCTACATCGATGTTCTTGTATAATAGTAAGGCTGTTAGTTCGGCTGTGTGATTTCTACACCATTCGCATTCCATAGGAGAATAAATATGGGTTTGATGGGAGTCATTTAAGGATTTTTTAAAGGAGGAATGAGATGAGATACCAGGTTTTGTAAGAAGTGATATCAGTGGGGTGACAAGGGATTTAAATTCGGTGAGGAAAGATTTCAATAAACTAGTAAGATCTGTGGCATTACACGGTGGGGGGTGGGATATGAGCGATTTGATATGGGTTAGGTTGTTGAGGGTTAGGTACATTAGGAGAGATATGATATTGAGGTAGGGGTTGACTTGCTTGTTCCGGCAGGGCAATTAGTCCGCAGGGGCATTCATTAGTCGGGTCTTTACCTCCGAGTAACTTTGCAAAGGAAACTTTAGAGTCCACCATTTTAGCGGGTCTTCTTCTTTGTTTAGGTGTACCATCCTGGTTCCGGGGCTCGTATCTTTTGTAGATTTTTGGTTTTTGTAGATGGGTTTTTGTAGATTTCACAACCTTTATAGTTGGCCGGATGACCTGTCAAGCATAAGGCGCAGACTGCAGGATCTTTTATTGGTTTGGTACATTCGCCAGATTTGTGTGGTTTTTCAACCTTTACAATGGTATAGTAAAGTCGATATATGTCTATGTTACCTGATAGCTGATATAAACTTAACAGCTGTTACTCCGGTCCTTCACACACACATACACATACACACACACACACACACACACACACACACACACACACACACACACACACACACACACACACACACACACACATATATAAAGTCGATCTATGTCGGTCTAATATTTTTGACAAAGATCGGAGGAGGTCGTGGTTCTCTATATATCGGTGCAGAATCCTCCTCTCTGTCATTTTGAAGCACCTGGTATGGATTGGGTGTAAACAAATGAGATTAAGAGATCATTTGTTGTGAAGACGTACTTGGTTGTGGTTGAGGTGTTGATTTTTGAATTTTCGCTTGAGGAGTTCCGGGGGTGTTGATCGCTTACTGCGACGATTTTTT